TCATCTTATATATAACTATTTCTCATCTTTCTATGTTTTGGGCAGCCCCTCCGTTAGGAGGGACCAACATTCTTAAAACCAAATGTCTTCTTCATTAATTAATGTCTGTCCTATTAAACCCTTTCACACATATTAACCATTATGCAAATTTAACTTAAAATTATATAAGCGAATGTAAACCTAATTTATAGAAATCTAATTCTATTAACTAGTTTTTATGAGTTGAATAAAATTTAACATGTACTTCTTAATATGTTAGGTCAAAATTTTGGATATATTATTCTATCTACTATCGAATTATGTCTAGTCTTATGTTCAAGTCAAGTATGTATTCTAATATCACGTTAATAAATAAACTTTAAACTTAACTCAGTTTCACAATGATTTATAAAATGAAATTTACATTTGTATCACAACAAAAATCTTTTGGTATGAAAGTGGCTTACAACTTCTTCTGTTTGTAGATAAAAATATAAAAGTCAAATAAACTTGCTTTGCTTAGACATAGGGTTTTCCCTTAAATCATTTGATATCAAAATATATGCATATGTGAGAAAGGGAGAGAGAGAGAGAAAAAAAAAGAAAGACAGCACGCATATATATAGAGGAGCATATGGTGAATGCTGCCACAAACTCTGCTAACTAGAATTGTTCTGTATATCCATGACTGCACTGCAGGCCACGCTTGCTGAATTTTTGACAAAGCACAAATATATAGGCATTTAAGAATATTGCAGGAGGAAGATGCATTAACATATACTGTAATATATAACTTTCAATTTACCAAACAGAAATAAATACTTCTTCCTTTAATATGCAACTCATCAAACCCTAAATATTCCCTTCTTCTTTCCCTCTTGGATGTTTTTTTTTCTATATCTTTACTTTTTTTATGAGTACTAATTAACAAGTGGTGCTATTAGGGCATAGAGTTGATTTTATTTTAGTAAACGTTGAGCAGTTGTTTAACATTGGTTTAATGAATTAAAAATTATTTTTCTTTTTCAAGTATTTTCATCATGATCTTTAATTAATTCACCATAAGATGTTTTTAGAAATTTTGAAGATGCAAAATATAGACTGTAGAGTTACTTATAGTTCTAGATGTTAGCATTGAGAAACTATATTTATTCAACCCAACAAATTTATATATAAAATAAAAATATAATTGTTTTTAGTTTTTTTTCTAAGAAAAAATTAAAATCAAATTATATTAATATTTTTAACTCACGATCGGGTCATGTTTTATTAAAATTCTATTTCAAAACTTATATATATATATATATATATATATATATATATATATATANCACGGTAATTTAAATCGATGATCTAAACTCTACAACTGAAAACAGTTTTCCATGGATAACTATAAAAATCCTAATTGTTGAATTTTGCAAGTTGTGTCGTTTAACCAGTTGTTCCCAGTACACACTCATGTAATGTCAAATCTAAAAAACCCTTTATTCAGAAAGTGACTCATCCATGCCCAAGTGCCTTTATTACTCCTAATTTGATTGCTAATAATAAAAAGAAGACTAACAACTCTGTATTCATTTGGAATATATAATATATTATATTGTTACTATCGAGTAGATTAGACCGACCGGACATGCTTGAGTTATTATTGAGTAGGTTAGACCGATCGGCCAAGAACGATGGTAGCGTTACTACTGAAGTTAGACCGACAACCGATCGGTCATACAAGAACGATGGAAGGGTTACTACTGAGCGTCGGAGTGTTTCCTGCAGGTCACCCCCATTTTTATTATTATTGCTAATAATAAAAAGAAGACTAACAACTCTGCATTCATTTGGAATATATAATATATTATATTGTTACTATCGAGTAGATTAGACCGACCGGACATGCTTGAGTTACTATTGAGTAGGTTAGACCGATCGGCCAAGAACGATGGAAGCGTTACTATTGAGGTTAGACCGACAACCGATCGGTCATACAAGGACGATGGAAGTGTTACTACTAAGGTTAGATCGACCGGACACGCAGGGACGATGGAAGCCAATCATTCCCGGTCGGACACTAGATTAATACTCGTGAACTCTCCAGTCGTTTGCTGGAGACAACCTTTGAATGTCAATGAATGCATAATTAATGATGTAACGGTCACTGTGGAGTTAAGGTTGGCATTGATCGTCAAGAGATAAATTAATCGATGATATTCCTTGAAACCCTATAAATAACAATTGGTTAAGAAGGTAAACTGTCTGATTTCTGATTTTGACTAGACTTGCGGAGATAAATTCTGACTTGAGCGTCGGAATGTTTCCTGCATGTCACTCCCATTTTGGCATTGAGAGAGGAAGATCCAGGAGGTAAGACCGGAGTAAGGAGGACCGCTTGGCGAAAGCGGAACATTCCCGAGCGAAAACAGCAAGCGTTTTCCTCGTCCCATTCCAGCAGAAACAATTATGAATAGTGTTATATAATTTTATTAGCTACAAAAGCTTTTCTGGGTTATTGAACGTTTCAAATGTTTATTTATAAATCCTGTAAATTTAATCAACAATTAAATCATGAAATATTGGGCAGAGAGAACCAAATCCATGGATGATTACTGAACCAATCGCACTCAGAAGGGTCATTATTCCATCGTGGAAAATAATCCCAAACCAATATATGAAATCACATCGCCTTCAAAGTTTTTCCAATATATCATATACATATTTATTTTTATCAGTAAAGATTGATAATATTTGTGAATGCTGGTTCCGGAACAGGACAAATACTAACTATTGAATGTTAAATTTCACAGATTAGAAGTTATGTTTCACTACCCTTTCTGATGTGGTGTGGCTTTCAGCATAGTAAAGACTCTAGAACTACGTATTTACCAATTAGATTTAGCAGAGAAATGTAGCACTGTAAATAAGAATTGGAGAGAAAGCAGAAACTGTAAAACAAGGATATGTGAAAAAGGTTACAATTGTTTGGAATTTTGTGATTCAAAAAAACTTGTGGTGGAAGGAGTTAAATTAATTAAATAAAAATATATTTCTATTTTATCTTTTAAAAAAAATTTATGTATTATTTACTTATTTAGTTTAGCATATATTTCTTAAAATTGGTTATAAGTTCTGTTTTTTTTTTGTAATATAAATATTTATGGTTTATGCTCAATAAAAAATATTAGTTTCTCTTTTATTCTTTTGTTTCTTATACTTTAAAATCGAACCATTCATATCAAGAGGAAAAAAAAGGTTATCTATGATATAACTCACAAATACTTACGACCATCAAATATCCATCATATATATAAGATGGAATTTGAAACATCTTTTACTACCATTTTTGTGCCTGTATTTAATGGACTTAACTATCAAATGTGATATGTCAAAATGAAAGTATATCTTGATGCTAACTATGTATGGGAATATAGAAGAAGACTATGGAGTGTCTCCTTTCTACCGCTTTCCATACATCGTTAGCATCAAGATATGTTAATTATTTGATTTTTTTTATTCAAATATTGTCTTCTATAAGATAAAGAGAAGAAAATTCATTAGTAACATAATAACAGTGATAATTAAGAGAGGTAAGAAGGAGTAGTAGCAACTGTGGTTGTTCTGTGCATAGGGTGAGTGACAATATCAGAATGATTGTTACTGGGATTATACCAGTACTCTCCAAATATGTGTTACTTGGAGAAACATTTTGATCATTATCATTACAGAATCAGAACATGTAAGGTTTGAAGCACCTTCAATACTATCAATGATTTGAGTTTCATCAGAATTATCAACATGATCAATAACAAGTATGACAGGTTAAAAAAATTATAAGTTTCAGCAGGGATATGATTATCTTTAAAAGGAAAAATGTTTTCATGAAATTTAATATCTCTAGAAATGAATATTTTTCTAGTGTTCTAACTATCAATAGCACTACTTCTAATTGTGCAAAAGGTAATTGAATAATAGTACCATAAAATGTAGTGTTTTTTTTTTCAGAAACATCTCTTTCAAGCACCAATTGGTGAAGTAGGAAACGATTACTGAATATTTCAACCTTTTTGTTTTAAAAGTTAAGTACGTTGGACTTTGAAATTGCATTTGTATGGGAAAGTGAAAACTAGGCAACACTGGCAATTGCTTCTTTGGTGCTAAAGAAAAATTACGGAATTGCTGGCACAGACATAGATCCCCTTATCACACCTTTGGTAGGGATTGCAATGAAGCATATTTGTTCTTAATCTATATATACAAAATTTCTGTACTGTAAGACCAATTTAAAATCAATTTTAGTATCAACTTTAAGATATCTTTGATATACATACAATATAACACAAGGAAAACAATTAACACATTACAAAACATTTTTTTTATTTTATATTTAATAGATCATACATAAACCAAACAAAATAGTATAAAATTTACTCTAATATATTTTTAGTAATAATTATCTTATTTTACTTTACATAATTATAACATTATAAGTATTTTATATATTCTCGTCTATTATATATATTATTGTAATATATTAATAAGGTATTATTATATTATAATAGAGTTAATGATGATCATAACAAATAAAACATAGAAATCAACTATATATCTTATTAAAAAATCAAATTACATTTTCTTTTACAACTTTTCTTTTTATTTCAGAGGAATACTTGTTGACTTGCAATATTCCTTGTGTTCCTTCCCACTTTTTTTTTTTTTTTACAGACGAAAACTGCATTAATCAATATCAATTTTCTCAATTCATGAATCAAAGTTGAATATAATGATATATCCCGTCCTAATGGTATGTTTCAAAACAAAAACAGATACTGAAATCTTGATCATTAAAAATAGACGCAAGGTTGTCATCCCTCCAAATATAAATTTTGTATATGTAACTTTAAACTATCATCATTTTAGTCATGTAGTTTTGTTAGCAACATATACCTATACTAATTGATGAGGAGTTGTTTTAACTAAAACATCCCATTACAGAGCAATATTCAACCACTCCATAATAGTTTTTTCTTTCCACATTATATTCTATCTGTTCCACTTTAAGATTAAATACATACCCTCTTCTTGTACATGTGTGTATATATAACACCTCGAATCATTTTCATCAATAACAAATCTTCCTCTCAAATCATAGTGAAACAGATCCCCCACCAGTACAAGTTTTTTGAGAGAAAAATGGCCAATGTTGAACACAATGGTAACACTTGGCAGAGCACCCTCTGTCTTTTGTTTCTAACCACAACCTTTCTTATTGCCAACTCTGCAAGGATCCTAGATGAAGTAGAACCCCAACCCCAAGCCATAGGTAACTTAGCAGCATCTGGAACTGTCAATCCTTCCTTCATAACAGGTCCAGTCACCACTTCACCACAGGCAGGTCCTGCCACCACTTTGCCGATTAACCAAACACCTGCAGCCACAACCACACCACTGGTAGGCAATGAAGCTAAATACTTTTATTTATTTCACTAGTGAATGTGATATTAATTCAAAACTGGTACTTCTGTATAATTGATATAGATATTTTAAAAAATGTTATAAAATTTAAATTTAGTTTACATCTCTCTAAAGAAGCATGAATAAGAATAAAAAAAGAAATGTGGAGGCATTGTCCTTTAATGATAAAGAAAAAAAAATCTTTATAGATGATTTAAACAAAGGTATGAGATTGAATTATTATAGATAGCCATTTATGAATATGATAATCATATGTATAGTTTCTAATTGATTTTTACTAATATCCAAAAAGTATGTTTTTAATTTAGATTTAAGAAATTATAATTTTTTATTTATTTTGTTTTATCAATTTTTTTTCATAGGTAAATATTTCAAAAGTATCTTCTGTATATTTAAGTATAATGGTTTCTTCATATCTAATGTATTAATGGTATTCACTCATCATAACAGGTAGGACCTGCCACCACTTTGCCAAGTGGCCAAACACCTGCAGCCACCACCATCAGTCCTGTTGCTACGGAAGATTCCGGAGATGAAGATGACAATGCAGACCCCCCAGTTCCGGAAACAGAAGCTCCAGCAGAGGACATTCCTCCAGTGGCAATTCCTACTCCAGAAGTGGTGCCAGCTATCCCTAATGCAACACCTGTGACACCAAATCCTGTGGCAAAAGAGGCATCGTTCTCTTTCTTCATGCATGACATCCTTGGGGGGTCACATCCATCAGCAAGAGTGGTGGCAGGAATTGTAGCAAACACTGATGTCACTGGCCTACCATTCTCCAAACTCAACAACAACCTCTTCCCAATCACTGGAGGAATCCCCTTGGTCAACCCCAAGCTCAATGGCATCATCACCAATAACAACCTTCCAAACCTTGTTGGCCTCAGTGGTGCACAATCCTCCACTGTGTTTAAGAACAGTGGCACCAGCAACACAGTCACTGGAAGCGGCAACCAGCCATTTGTCTCGGCAGGTAACCTCCCTGCAGGGTTCACCATTCAGAAGCTCATGTTCGGATCGGTGACAGTGATTGATGATCAGTTAACAGAAGGGCATGAGCTAGATTCTGCTGTGATTGGAAGGGCACAAGGATTCTACTTGGCAAGTTCATTGGATGGCACTAGCCAGACCATTTTGCTGACCATTTTGGTGCATGGTGGCGAACACGATCAACATCACGAAGGATTAGAGGATAGTATAAGTCTCTTCGGGATTCATAGGACAGCTTCAACAGAATCTGAGATAGCAGTGATTAGTGGAACTGGGAAATATGAGAATGCAAAAGGTTATGCTTCACTTGAGACCCTTCTGAAGGAAGACCAGCACACCACCGATGGGGTGGACACCATCTTGCATTTCAATGTCTATCTCACTGAGTAGAAATTATCTGCAATTGAATTGCTTTCATATTTGCAGTTAAGTTTGACTTTGTGTATGCTTTGATCAAATTGGTAATGTCTCCCTTAATGCTTGCTTAAGTTTGAAATATAACTCATTCTGCTCCCTTTTTTTCTTATACCATCACTCCGTATCTCATTTGTCAGACTATCACCTCATAGTAAATAATTATCATCATCTTACTTTACTAATACATCATTTAAGTTTATTTTAACTTTTATACAGTGAATGGAAAAATTATCTATTTTTCTGATGTTGATAATTGAGCAAGATTATCATTAGGTAGAAGGTTCACCTCAAGTTTATTGTTCTCCTATTATAGGGAACTTAATATTATGAAGTACAAAATAGTGCGGAGTGACAAGATTTAGCACCAAAACCAAATACTATGTCATACAACAGTTGCATGCAAAATTATCAGTCTTAGAGAAAACTTTAGTTTGGAAATAATTGGCACACTGAACTTATTTGTGGTGATAATCAAGTCAATCTTTATACATCTACAAGGGTCTTTCGTGAAAGGACTAATGCATAAAAAGTTAGTCATTCTGTGACAGAAATTCTTATTAGGAGATATATTAGTAATCAACTTGAATTTATATTCACTGAACTTTGGAAAGGGACTTGTGAATTTGTGTTGACTTAAGGCTCACTAAAGAAAAGAGAGAAAACATAGCTGTCATGAGACTGATATAAAAAAAAGGTACAATGAAAATTAGGAACCCGTTATCACCTTGTCATAGCAAAAATGTCAAACAACACCATAGAACAGTACATAGTAGATAATGAACAATGAAGACTTGGAACTACTTATAGATTATAAGGTGCTTAAAACAAATAACAAATTTGAAAATATTTTCATATATTAAACAATAGTTGTGGGAATATTTCAATAAATCTATCCACAAATATCTGTAAAGATAAAAATAAAAATTTGCATAAAACTTAATATAGGAAACCTCTGTAAGTAATTGAATTTGTTTGAATAAACTTCTCGAAAAACACTCTTTAGAAGAAAATCTAAAAATAAAATAAAATAGATCTGTCAGTAAACTAATTTTGTAAAATTTTCTATAATTAGTTTATCCAATATCTAATCTTAAGTTTATGCATAAATTTATTTTAATTATGATATTTTCTTTTTATTATTTTTTCAAAAGTACTTTAAAAAAGTTTATGCAAACAGACTTTATATATTTAAGCATTACGTTAATTTAAGTTTATATAAAATTTCACTTTATTTTCCTTCTAATTTTACTATTTGTAAGTATTTGTGGAAAAGTTTATGATAGACATATGATAGAGTTCCTCTCATAGGGGACAAGAAATAATAGGTATAGAAGACATTACCACAAGGAAAATAACAAATATCTAGTACAATAAAAAAATGCTAGGAATTTTAATCAAATTCCAACTTATATCGCAACTAAATCAGTTAGTTGACAAGAAGTTTAATTGCCAAAAAGTATTGACTACAAGAATTCATAAATGGTCACCACCACTCCTTTAGAATTTAAAATTTCTCAAATCAAGATCAATTCCAGGAATACATACCTCTCTTGAAGCATTTTTTTTTATAAATCGATCTTGAACTTTCAAGCACCTAAGTGCAAATGAACAAGATCTACTGAATCAATCTTCCACTCTTCAATTAACAAATCTAGATGGTGTAAAATGCCATCACAGCATCAATAGAAACTGAGTTTAACATTACCAAATAAAAAAAGAATTATCAAGACGAGTAGTGAATTAGCCTTGTATATAACCTAAAATCACCAATTAAAGTTCAGGTCTCATTTATAATAAACAATTTCTAAAAGCACATGAATACATGTAGTATAAGCCAAAAATGTATATTTATTCAGCTTATTTTATAAAACTCAAGGTCAACCAAGAAATTCCAACTTCAGAAATTTCTAATATGAACCATTATTCTACTTTTAAGACTAAAAAGGTTTAATATAATTCTTTAATCTCAAAACAGACAAAAATAGTAAATAAACAACATATATTAAGCACTTCAGTATTATTTAATCCCAGTTTATTGCCTAATTATGTATTGAGCTTCGTATAAATACAAATTTTGATTTTGTATTTAGTTGCATAATACTAATTTCTATGATGACTACTCAAACTAATTATATATACAGATTTTGTCATACCTAAATTCCCGAGGCAACGACACATTCAGCAAGTACTTCCATTTGAAATCTCAATTTCTTTTCATTTTTATGAAGGTTTGATGTAATTACAACTGTACCTATCCAATGACAAGTTACAATATCTCAGCAAGTTGGTTGAAGTTAAACAGCCGTAATTGTGGCAATGAATTTCAAATGAAACATTTGTAAAAAGTCTGGTACATCTTTCCAATCATTATAACCAGAACTCCAATGGAAACCTCCCCTCAGTGGGCTCAGTCGGGGTTATGATGAAACAATGGGAAAAATCAGATGTGCTATGTACAACACTGTCCTTTCAAGGAAATGGTAGAATCCATGACAGAGGTTGGACAAACAATTCATCTTCAGAAGGAACTTACATAATATAAGAGTTAAAAATCTGCAAAAATAAAATAAAATCAATAAAGGAGAAAAATAAATAGCAAAAGTAGCAAATAGTTAATTCAAAAATAAAACAGATCTAATTACCAGATTCAATGAAATGTGAGGTTGAAACAAAAATGAAATGTTCTAATGCAGAGAAACCTCTGCCAGAGAAAAAAAAATAATTCAGACCTAAACTAGGATAAAGAAAAGGAAAAACAAAAATAGTAGAGACAAAAACACAAGAAAGATCGGTGAGAGTTTAAAATGATTATAAGAGAGAAGTGAATTAAATAAATAAAAAAACAAACTGATAACGAGAAGAGCGAATTTAAAAACGTAAAAAGATAAACCAAAAATAAAAATGATAAGTAAAAAAACTGCTAAATGGTCGTTGTAGAATCATCAGAGGGTTACAAGAGTCACGCGGAACTACCAACCAGATAAATTACAGCTATTAACTTTGAAATTCAATATTGACAACTTCAAAGACAAGAAATATCACTATCATACCTCATTCTCCTCTCCAATCTATCAATTCCCTTCGTGGTGCATAAAGGGTAGCAGCTCGCTCTTCTGCTTCCGTATCGTTTACTATACCTCGGCACTTTGGGAAGCCACAATAACAAGCAAGCCGTTCATCAATTGAGAAAAATCTGTCAAATGAATAAAAGAAAGTCAGCACAATATTTGCCAAATGTAGTGGTACCCACAACTAATCCCAACAAAAGAACAAGTTTTGTATTATTTTTTTGTGTGCCGAAAAAGTACTCAGTTAGAGAAGAGGGAAACCTATAATCATATGTAAGCTCTTCCCACTGTTTTATGTCCCTCTTTGCAAATATTATAATATGCTCGTCGCCATTAACACTTATTACTCTTGAATAGCAATTTGGCTGCATACAAACAAAATTTATACAGGTAAGCAATTAAAATAAAGCTGCATGACTTCTTCAGTAAATAAGCAAGTTGAAACGCAGTATTTCCAAACTAATGTCAACAGCATAGTAGTCAATTCCATATAGTGGCGCAAAGCAGCTATACATCAGGTAGCAAGATCACTGGTATTTTTAAGTCAAAGTACACATTACATCAGTTGCACTACACGTGTATATATGCTGAGAAAAAAACATAAAAGTAAAGATATTCATAAAGGATGGATGAAGCCATTAAATCTGATGCTTGCGAAGATCATACCCAATTAGAATAAAAAAAAATAAAGGGTGGAGCTCAGAAAAACAGGAGAGCACAGAACCAAAAACAAACATTCTCATACTGAGAGGATAAAGAACAGAGGGTAAAAAAACATTGTAAAAGTCAGGGGTCAACCACAACAATGAAATCTTGAGAGGGAATAGCTGGAAAGTAATGTCTGGTGTCAGAAATCTAGAGAGAGAAAATTGGATCCTCATCAGTGAGTTGGGCTGCAGTTTCTTGCTGAATGGTCAATGCAAGCAAGTTTGGAGTAGGTTCCAGAAATGGAGACAAGATGCCAATATTGTCCCCACAAAACAGCACCAAATAACACCATTTGGTGGCATGAAAACTGAGAATACGGTTTTATAACACACAATTAACTACTATGGCCAACAGTAGAACGGTGGTTGTAAACTAGCATATACCAGTATTAACCAAAGCAACAATATACTTTCATGTAAAAGAGAAACTATGTAGGTTAAAGCCTTTGAAGATCTTATCAAACTGTTCCACAATCAATGCAAACCACATTATCAAAAGTCATTTAACAATGCTACAAATATGTCAAAAAATACGCATATCTTAAGTATCTCAAGCATACAAACCCCATACTAAAAATTAGAAACTCCTGCAGGCTCCAGTCATCAAATAGTAAGATAAAAAGGGTACATTAAGCGAATTTCATACATCAAAATAAGAACGCGTATTAGAATGGCAATGATTAACAAGCAACACATGAAATCATGAAAAATATCATATTAAATTAGAAAGAACATACTGCACAAGAATGGTTTATTAAATGAGCAATGCTTCCTGCTCTAGTAGCATCAATGACTCGTTCATCGTCAATCCGAAACATATATGTTCCAGCACCCTGCATAAGGGAAAGAAGCACGGCTTACTACATCCTTTATAAGAACCTACATAACAATCCAGAAGGTGCAGACTGATACTATATTGTTTGTAGCAGAAGGTGCCATAGTTGAAACATTCTTGTTCATGTTGACAATCAAAAGTTCTAAGATCCACTGTCTATTTTAGTTGAAGATTTTAGAGCTATCAGAATTATGTTCCCTTTCATCAGAAGCTTTATTAGCTTGAAATTAATATTAATATAAGCTATTAATATTTTGCATATAAAGTGCTTGAAATTGATGTACTAAAATTGTGTTCCCTGCCATACAAGCTCATTCGATAATTCAGAATACTTACGACCAATGAATTGTATATAAAGTGTTCTCTCCGGTCAGCTATTGGTGGTCTAACAAGTTCACCAGTGTATTCAATCACCTGAATAAATAAAGTCAAGATGTAAACCCTTAAATGTATAAATGCTATAACAATAGATAATGCAAATGGAAAATATTCCCCTTACCA